TAAATAAAAAACGTTGAAAAAAAAATTAAAAAAAAAAAATAGTGGCCTGGAGTCATTACATTTATCCCATCACTGGCTAATGGGTTTAAGTCCACACTTGGGCTTTTATGCACACTGCTACCTCCAAGTCTTTCCACTCATTAAATATTGTTTTTGGCCATGAAGGAACAAACAGAATAGACAGTGAAAAGATAAGTCACACTTGAGTCTCTGAAAAGTGTCAGTCTTAGAAAAAAGGGGCAGCTACCTATATGCTTTGTCTTACAGTTACCAGAAAAGGCTCTGTCCTCTGAATCTCACCTGCTTCCTGCCATGGGGCTCACAGTGAAACCATCAGAGACCCTTTCATTCCTGACAAGTTAGATTTCAAGTTTGCAAACGCATAATCTATGCTTTCTTGCAGAGATTTTATTCTCAGGGATTTAATGATCCCCAGCTCAGAGCCTGGCAGAGATATTGTTGGGGTGTTGGTGAGGGTGGGAGAAAGGATGTAAATCAGAATCAGGAAAAATGGAGGTAAACCAGGGTGCGAGGGTACCCAGGACAAAATTTTACTAAAATAACTTGGCTTACAGAATGGATCTCTTTTCAAAAGCAAACATGCAAAAACCAAAAACAAACAAAAACTTACAACACTGAAAAAAACAGACACAAAAAATGATCTGTGAAAAGTCTGGGTTCTAATTTCAGGTTAAGGAGTTTGATTCGTGGCCATTCATCTCACTATGGATCTCTCTAATAGTGGATGCTGACCATGATTTTAGGCATTTAAAGATCTAACCTTCTGATTTGGAGATCGAAGTTAATGCTCATGTTTGTTTTCTCAAGACGTGGAACTGCAAATCGGAGGCCCAGAGAGTACTAAAAGAAAAAAATCACAAGACACTAAGGTTATTACAGAGAGGGACCATATACACAGCATAAAAATCTTTTTAAATCATCCCTGCACTTCTCTCTCTCTCTCTCTCTTCCCCTGGTGGGATTCTCTTTCTCTGCCCCTCGCTCACTTGTGCCCTCTCTCTCTCAAAAAAATAAAAAAATCCCTGCAAATCCCTATCTCATATTGCTGCCCTTTTCCCTGCTTCCACCCCGGGGGTTGCCTAGAGGAAGTCACGGAACTAAGACTGCAGAGGCCAGACATTCAAGTCCCTCTACATTGTGGTTCATTCTCTTCATTTAGTCCTGTACGAATTCTTCTCCTGCCACCTTCCCATGTGCTAAATTAAAAACAACCTAAATATACAAGAGGCAATTGATTTGGAAAACTGTAATGCTTGTGTTTGATGCACATTTACAGCGTCATTGAAACTGACTGCGAATTGGGTCATTGGGTGGGACGCCTATGCAAATACGTGGAAAATGCTTCTAATGGAACGATGACTGATAAAGAAAAAGGTTACAAAGTTGTACATGCAGTGTGTTTTAGGTATTGTTTTAAAAGTTTGTCGGTGGAAAAATGACTGTACAGGAGTGAGGGTGTATTGTAAAAAAAAAAATATACCAGAATACTATGCTATGGTAATAATATTAAGGTTATGAGCATAGGGATTGTTTTTCTACCTTTCTTGATTTCCCAAAGTTTTAAACCTGCTCTTATTTTTTAAATCTGAGGACAGGTTTTTAAAACTTTGGGGAAAATTAGTCCAATGATAATATCAATAAGGAAGTAAAAATAAGAGCCAATAATTCTATCACTTACTCTCCTATGTACTGTGCTAAAGCCTTACATGCCTCGTCTCACATAATCATGACAACCACCCCATGAGATGGGTACTCTGATTATTGACATTTTACACTCTGAGCAGAACTCTGAGGATTAGGGAGATCAAGTGCCTTCCTCCAGGTGCACAGCAAATGAGCTGTAGAGTTGGAATTGAAATTCTTGCAAGCTGACTCTGGAACCTGCACTCAAGGCCACTACACCCCGAGACTCAGATCATTGATTAAAAACTCGTGTTAACACGAACCAGTAGTAATATGAATAATAAATCATCATTCTAATCATAAATCGTCATCATTTCCCTAGCCCTTACTGAATGCGTTACAAACCAGGCACTGCTCCATTGGCTTTATATATGTCAGTGCACTGCTCCAAACTTTCCTAAATGTGGTGATTCTCCCATTTCAATGTGACTTGTCCAAGGTATCACAACTGATGAGCAGCAAAGCTGGGATTTAAACCCATGTGTATCTATTAAGCCTATGCATCCTTATGCCCCAGCCATGATGAATTCTTTTATGATATCAAATGTGCCATTTTTGGTCAGACCCCTGGGACTTTGCACATACACTCCCCCCTTCTTTGAAAACCTTAAAACTTTTCTGCTTTCTTCTACTTGAAGACGTTCTACTCCATGCTTCAAAGCTCAGGACGAGAGATCCTCCTGCAACATACTATCCGATCCCACAGGCCCAGTCAGGCAGAAATTTTCTCTTTATTCCCCCATCTCCTTCTTTGCAACCTCCGATAGTGTTAATGTTGAGTTTCTTATTGAATGGGCGTTGTATATTTTCATCTTGATATTGTCAGACTCTAGCTTGGAACCAGGCATACAGAAGGGATGCACTAAAACAGTTCCAGTGGTGGGGATTTTACTGTATTGGGATGAAGCCTGGCTAATGTCAGTCCTCATTACAGAACAATTCAGCCTGGGACAAAGATACAATAAAGATATGACAATTTCATATTGTAAGAGACACATGTGTTCTCAGCTAGAACCAAACACCAAATATCTGGGTGTTGATTCTAAAGGAACTTTGCTGAACCACCACTTACTCGTCTTCCTGCTTGAGAGATTTTTCCAAGTTTTTATAAATCCTACTGGCACCTATTTTATATGACTATAGCTATTATATGAAAATGACATTACTACTTACAAATCAGGAGTAATACTTCTGAATACTACCTTGAATGTTTTGTTAAATTAAAATAAAATGCCACTCGAAAACTTTTTTTTTTTTTAAATATTGGGTGGGACTTAACTGTTTCTGGTGATTTATGATGCTTTTTAATATTTAGGGCTGCTTTTATATTTGGAATTTTACTACGATCCACTGAGAGTATTTTTTTTTTAAGTACAAAATGAAGAAGTAAATAAATCAAAGTGTTTTCAAAGAAAACAGAATGCAATAAAATTTGATGTGTTTAAGGGCATTAAAGGGTGAGATAAGAAAGCTATTAGGTTTCTTCCACTAGAGACCTCACAGATTAATGAATACAAACAATTTACCTCCTTGACTTCCAAAAATTACTTGCTGGTAAAATGGGCAAACATCATTTCACATAAACACACCCATGGTCAAGACCACACTGCATTTTTACCCTCCACTTTGAATGACACCAGTGGCCAGTTTTGCTCCAAGATTATTATTTGTTATTAATGATCTTGGATGATCTCTGGTTTAGACTGAACACTTGTAATACTGAAAAAGGAATGAGTGCCTGGTCATTTTTATAAAATTTTATGCAAATGCCACGGTTCCCATGTCAATCTGTTCCTCTTTAGTGTTAGGTAGACCTCTTCTTCATGCCAACTTAGGTGATTGGATTTTTCTTGATAACCAGCAAAAGGATATATTAGTTTCTGGACAAAAGGATTCTAATGGAAAATGTCCCAATTTCTCAGCTGAGAAATCCCATTCTGTCTTTCATGGCTTCGTTTAAAAATCTCATCTTGTCTGTTATTCATTAGTTTTTATCCAAATACTTTTCCCAATTTTGCAGACCAGACAGAACATGGACCTTGTGTGAGGTCCTGGTTCGAATCTTGGTTTTGTCGTTCATTATCTGTGTGATTTGGGGAAATTTATTTGATATCTCTCAGTCTCAATCTCCTCATCTATAACATAGGAGAAATACTCAACTAATGGGATTGTTGGTTGTGAAAACTTAACGAGATAACATAAAAAAAGTACTTAGTGATGCATTTATAACACAGAGAGCAATCAGTATATGTTAGCTAATAAAAAACTGTTATAAAATTTTATCTTTCATTTAAATAGTTACTTCTTTTGGCCTAACAAGTGAATTTACCAGACTATAGCTTGGCACACTTTATAGAGTGTAAAAAGTGTGTAAAAAAGCAAAAATATTATTTAATTTTAGAGTGTAAAAAAGCAAAAATATTGTAGCAGAATACCCTAAAGTAAAAACTGGGAATAGGAATTACTTGATACTTTCAAATGCTCAAATAAATGTGAGAGACCTTGGGCTAAAAGGTTTATTTACTGCAGGACTTCTCAGCACCTTTAAAATGCGAATGTGCACCTAAATGTTCCAGAGGAGAATATGATACCCAGCAGTGACCACAGAACTCCCTTTTAAAGCCTTATCTCAAGGGATCAACACTCTTTGGAATATACTTTGGGAAGCTATTCTAATACAAACCTATGCAATTATGAATTTTTATGAAATTTTTTTCAAATAGGCCACTTCACTGATAATCATAAATATCTAATTTAAAACAGAGGAATACATATGTTTAGTTTATGAAACATTTAAATATGCAGTATTTGCAGATTTCAGAAATTTTTTCTGATTTATGACTTCATAATAAGTATGTCCACTGGGATATTTATTACAACAAGTTACTATGTGTACTTAAATGGCAATTGCAATAAAATAAACTTATTGTCCACAAGAAAACCGGAATGAGAAGTTCCTAAATCTGGAAACAAGGAAAGAAGAACAGAAACGTGTCTTTATTCTTCCAAATTCACATTACAGATCATTATTAACTCTTTTTCTTGCTACAAACACATGTCGGCATTATTCTCAAGTTCAAATGCATGGAAAATATAGACCTGGCAAAGCTGACTCGAAACCTAGATCATGGTAACATTTTTAATACGAAAATCCTGTGAATGATACCCATATGGGACGTATGTCAAAAATCCAAGTTTAATCACCTTTGCTAAAATCTTTACTTATGTTATTTCTTAAGTCATTTACGGAATACCGAGAAACAATTGAACTGCCGTGAGATTCAAAGAAACAAATATCCCAAGAAAAGATCTGTAGTAAAAAAGAAAAAAAAAAAAGTCTTCATAGATGTGTACCATCTAAAAGACATGTTAAGAGCAAAATCAAAAGAGAAAGCATATAAAAGTATCC